CTTTCCCCAGTAAATCTGACATAGGGCTTTATCTTCCCCATTTTACAACTGAGAAAATTTATCCTGAAATAGTTTGTGTAATTTTAACTTTAGACATTTCCATACGTCACTGAGACTCAGATTAAATAACTATTATGACTATTGTCCGTAGTCACACAGGAAGTGGTAAAAATAGAATTCAAGTCTATTTCACAAAAGACTACATGCCACACTGCATGACTGACTCCACTTACATTAAGTTTGACAGGTAAAACCCATCTATGATGATAGAAGTCACATCTATGATGATGTAAGAAAGAATAACAGTTCCTTCAGGGTGAGAGGGTGGGAAAATGGACAAGACATGGGCACAGGAACCTTCTGCAGTACTGAAAATGTTTATTTCTTAATCTGAGAGCTTACATACATGAGCTCATGCTTAACACTTCTCACACTTTACTGCATGTTATACATGAAGTTAAAAAAAAAACCCTCATCTTATGGACTCCAAGTTTATGCTCTTAACCACTAAACCGCCACATGGCACTCAGACAGAATGTAGTCACATGCTAGAATTGATTTCCTTGGATTATCAATGTTTTTCAAACATTCTGGTAAGCAAAGTACATCCTACTCATATCAGAATGAAGACACCTGAACCCTTTGTTTTAAAAATGCCACAGAATGAAAAGAATGAAAAGTAAAAAGTATCAATTTCCTGGCTACTGGGAATTTCCCCCTCTGTAGCCACATCAGAAAATGTTTTTTTAAATTTAACTTATAGATGCACAGAAAATAATGTGTAACATATTCTTAAAGTTATATATGAAAATACCTAAAGCTAAAATTGCACAAGATACATGTTATGACTCTCAAAAGACATCTGAATTTTGTTACAAAAATTAAGACAAGGCAAAAAGACAAAACTGGTAGGCAGAGGTCGTTAATACAGGGCAACACAGAGGGCAAAATCTCAATTCTTAAAATTTGTAACAAATAGAAAACTCAGTACAAATAACTTTTTCCAGCAGCAAAGTAATTGTGCCACACAAGCCCTCATAAATTCTCCACCAAGTATCAAGTTCTCCTTGTTGAAGCTTTGTTCAGCCTGGCAAAGCCTTCTTACCAGTGAGTGATGATGAAATCGTTACATCAATTCTCCCAAAACCTTATCCCACACATACATACACCTCTTATTCAAACAGTAATTGCCTCTCTAGAGAGAGGAATGTATTCACTCTATAATTTGCAGACATATTTGGCAAGTATCTAGGAACAGCAATCCCACCTTAGAGAGTGGAGAAAAAAGACAGCTGGGTCCACAACTTTGGGGTGTTTGTGCTGTTTTCTTTACTGGATGCAGCCAGGAAACATTTACCACTTCAGAGTCTAGTTTAATTCATCTTTTAATCTTCTGTACACACCAAAAATACCAAGCAACCAAATGACTTTAGTTTCCCTTGGGCACTTACATAAAAGACCAAAAGGCCTTTATGAGAATCTTTCAGTGTTGTTAATGTATGTACCACCATCAGGGATGTTGCAATAGATTATATAATCAAGTATTATCCTAGTTGCAAGATCTCAAGATCTCAATGTTTATAAAAGTAACCATAAGCATTTATTTTTAAAGTCTCTAACAGACTTTCCAATAAAACCGTCAAAAAAAAAAAAAAATACAGAAAACTAAATAGAGTCAGATACTGCATCCATTAACCAAGTTAGAAAGAATGAAAAGCACTGACCCAGTATGTCAGGAACATTAACAGCTGTGGATCAGCATCCCTAAATTAGGATTTTCACGAAACCCCAGCATTGCTAGAAAACATTTAAAGCTAAGGCCGAGCGCGGTGGCTCACGCCTGTAATCCCAGCATTTTGGGAGGCAGAGGCGGATGGGATCACGAGGTCAAGAGTTCGAGACCAGCCTGGCCAACATAGTGAAACCCTGTCTCTACTAAAGATAAAAAAATTACCCAGGCATGGTGGCGGATGCCTGTAATCCCAGCTACTCGGGAGGCTGAGGCAGGAGAATCACTTGAATCCGAGAGGCAGAGTTGCAGTGAGCCCAGACTGCGCCATTGCATTCCAGCCTGGGCGGCAGAGTGAGACTCCATTTCAAAAAAAAAATTTTTTAAGCTAAGTTTCAAAGTTTGAGAAACAGAGGATTCATCTTTTCTTTTATCCCTGCATCAGCTGAAAAAGTCCCACATATTTCTCTCCAGAACATCTTAGCTTATACCAACGATGCCTCACTAATGCAACTATTTAAAAAAAAAAAAAAAAAACCACACATTTGAACAGTATGGTGAAAATCAACTATGAATTATCAGTTCCACTTTGCGATTTTCAGCATAACTTTGGTGTATCAGAAATCTAAAACATGACTTCTTTAAAACAAGAAAATCTTCAAAACTACAAACCCTTCATTTACTCAGCCCTTTACCAGAAGCCCAGAAAAAACTTCATAATTTTTGAACAACAAGCAAATCATGTTTATTTGCCTCAAAATACTACCTCATTACTTAGGTTTCAAGAATCTTCTGATGTGCATCTGCCAAATATGGCCGATTTCGGTCTCAGGCAAATCTGAACGGCTACCACAGGGTTACTGTTTTTGGTAAGGGGAAGTCGATGCCAGGAGGAACTTCTCTACTGATTACAGCAATGACCAACACTTATTAAGCACTTCTTAACTCTCCCGGTGCAGTGAGAGGATTTTGACAAACATACTATTTGTCCTCAGACACAATCTTGTAGAGCAGACATTACCATCCCCAAAAGCAGATATGTAAAATGAGGCTCAGGTGAAAAATAACTTGCCCAAGATCACTGAACTAAATGTGGCAGAATCAAGTCTAATGAATGGTAAGGGTGAGAACTGGTCAGTTTCACAGAGAATTAGGCCTTCATCATACAAATGTCATCTGCACAAAAACTAAACGAAAAACAGTGAATTCTTGCTGTAGGGAGAAAAAGCAATATTCCGAACTAAAAAAGTAGTTTCAAACAGAAGATCTAATGATAAACACATTTGTAAAGGCTGGGCAGGAAAATGATTACTCAAATTACTCAAGTACAGCCCTATGGGGCTCCTGCACTTCTCCGTTCTTACAAACTAATCTGGTTTACCAGCGCAAGGACTCTGAGTAAAACTCTCCCAAATTCCTCCAGGCTTAACCACCCTCTACTCAAAAGAACCAGGAGCAGGAGCTAGGATAGTGGGAAGTGACCGCCCTGCCTTGCCCTGCCGGTCTTCCCTCCGGGTCAACTGTCAGATCCGCATGGGTGCGACCATAAGCCGGCGCCGGAGCCCCGGGACTGGCTCGGCCAGGGTACCCGCCTTTCCACTCCCAGTCCTGGCCCTGTCGGCCACTTCGTTTACCACCTCCAGAGGCACAAATAATTACACCGGAAGAATTTGTTTTAACAAGTAGAATTCTATATTCACCAACTGGCTTCGCCATCAGATATTACGGTAGGGTTCCAACAAGAGAAAGGCAGAAGAATATGGTTTAATTGTTCTAAATAATCTTTCTGCGAAGTTGGGGTGGCTGAGGCGGCCACGGGGGATACAGCTCAGGCACCTGTGAGCTAAGTACACTCAATAAACCACCCGTACGTTTTGGGCAGGAGAGCGCCTCCTCGCCAACCCAGGCTATAAACGTACATATTTTTAAAGATGAGCTTCGACGCTGTGACACTTGTGGGGAGTCTCTCGACTGCTCCTCCACTTGATGGGGGAACAGGGAGTTCTGCGGCTCCCCAGCCCCGAGTGTCAAATACCATGGCCTGGAAATTAACCAGGTGACTCGGTTTATCGCCTCGAGAAGGGTCCGCCTACCGTGCTGGAGTAGCCGCCTGCCCCGCGCCCGCAGCCGCGGCAGGGACCCCCACGCCCACCTTCCCACGAGGGGTGTCTGGCAGAGTCCGGCTTCAGGCGCTCCCTGGCCTGGCAGCACCCACCCCACCCCGCCCCACCCCACCCCCACGACTCGGGCGAGCAGCCTGGTTAATCATTCAACGCAGGCGGCGTGGAATATTTTTTTAAAGGTCAAAGCGAAAGATTCTCCTTAAGTTTGGCAGAAACCAGTTTTGGGGGAGCCGAAGACAGAAGTGGCAGAGGTTGGGGGTGGGGAGCGGCTGCCGGCGGCTCTTTGGCTCACAAAACACCTGATCTCCCCATGCGGCACGGGAGGCCGGTGCAGTGCGAGGGTGGGGTGCGAGGGTGGGGTGCGAGGAATCACGCGCGCCCCCCTCCCCGAAACGCCCGTGCGCCCCGGATGAGGCCCGGCCCCAGATGCCCCTTGCCAAAGCCCGCATCGCCCCGGCGCCGGATCCCCCGGAAGTTGGGGTGCAGCGGGGAGGGGGAAGGTCCCCGGGCTCCCGGGCGAGGTGGGCACGGAATGGGTTGGGAGACTCCTAAGCCCCGCAGCGGGCGGTGTCCCTCTCCTCTCCCTCTGGACTGGGGTTGGGTGGCTAGGACGGCGGGAAGGTAGGGGAGGCTTAAATGCGGCAGGAGCCACCTAGGGACTGCTTCCTCCACCGGGGCGCGGGTACGAAGCCGGAACCGGAGAGGAACCGGGCGGGGATAGTAGGGGGTCCGGAGGGCGGAGCCGGAGAGCAGGGAGGCGGGAGGGGACCGGTAGAGGGGCCTGGCGGGGAGGGAGCCGGTGGGGGTGCTCACCGCCCGGGCCCTACCTTGTCCGGGAGCAGCTCCAGCTCGGCGGGGCGGGGGCAAGGGCGGGAGATCGCGGCCACATCCACGTCCCGGCCGCTCCGCGCGGCTCAGCCCGGCGACCGCCGCAGCTCACGCTCCATGCGCGGCGCCCCGGACGGGCGGCCCGGCAGTGTCGGCGGCTGGGACGGCTCTGGCTCGGCTCTGCTGGCCTCCGGCACTTGTTGCCGCCGCCGCCGCTGCGCCTCACTCCCCGCTCCGGTTCCAGGCGCAGCAGCCTCCCGGAGCCCGCCCCGTCCGTGCCCGCCCGCCAATGGGGCCCGGCCCCGCCCCTCACGTCACCGCCTGACGGCCCCGCCCCGCACCCCAAGTTTTGGGAGGGCTTCGCTCTCGCACCCGGCTCCAGGACCCAACGGGCACGCGCTCTCCGCGGCTTTCAGCGACCCTGCAGCCCCCACGCACCCGCCTGCAAAGCCGAGGGTTAAGCTGGGGAAAGGGGGCCTTTAGGAAGGAAACCCCCCTGGAAAAGCCCGGCAGCTCCAAAAACACGAATGAAACGCAGCTCCAGCCTCCGCCCCTCCAGGTGCTGGTGGCCCCTCTTGCGGTTTGTCTGAGGCTAGGGGACTAGGCGCATCGCCTAGCGAGACCCCAGTGGCCTTTCTGGCCAGTTTGTAACCGGAACTAGACCGACCCCAGCGCTGGAGCGGGTGAGGAATGGCCACGCCGGGGAGGCGGGGGAGGGAAGCCTGGGCCACTGTGGGGCCTGACCTTTGCTCCGCCTCTTAGGTGCTCACGACCGAGAGTGGTGCCCTGCTTGGCACTGCCACTGGATCCTCTGGCTTATGAAGCCGTCCAGGACAGGACTGGGGGGTGGTGGTCCTTAGTTCTCTGAGTGGGGTCATGCAGAGTGGTTTCCTCGAGGTCCCACGCCCGTCTCAGGAAGCCGGAAACGCAAGATGCCGGGCGCTCGGCCCGAACCCGTGCCGCGGCCCAAGGGGCAAGGCGGATACCCAGGCGAGGCCTAAAGGGCCGGACTCTGACCCCCCCACCTCCAGACACTGCAGGGCTCCGCCGGCCAGAGGCGGCCTTGGCGCCAACTACACCTACCAGCGAGGGCCCCCGGGCCCACCGATGCGCCCTCCTAGCCCCGCGCTCCTTCGGGGAGTTCCGAGGTGACTCAGAGACGCAACTGACACAATTCTGAGGCCCCCAGGTAAGCCTGGCGCTACGGGATGGAGACGTTACCTGGTTTTGAAAGGCCCAGCTAAACCAGCGAGACCCGCGTGCGCTCCGCGGGGAAGCAAGCCTCCCCAGGGGCGCACCTGGAAGCGCTCCCGCCCCCTGGTCCTTATCTCTGAATCGAAACCGAACCTGGACCCATCTAGATAATTGGACTGAGCAATTAAGGACGCTTCACTCTCAACTGTTAGCATTTTTTCCTAAGGCTCTCGGAGGCGGAATCAGCTGGAAAGGAACATTGCTAAGTAGGAATTTCAGGCACCTGTGAACTGAGCCTACTCAACAATCGGCCCTTACTCTTAACCAAACTCAGCAAAGGAAGAAAGACCAAGTTGCTGAGGATGCACAGAGCCACATGGGTGCGGTCCTTTAGAAACAGGAATTCTGAGTCAGTAGATATGGAAATGTTATGGTTTGCAGTCTTCAGAACATGCTGCTTTTATGCCGTTCACATGATTCTCCTTGGACTGCGACGTAAAGTCCAAGAAACAAGTCGAATGTTTGTATATTCATAGAAAAAACATCTGTAAGGGTGCACACCGACTGTTAACCACGGTTTCGCGGGTAGGGGAAACAAGGGAGTTACATTTTTTTACTACATTGACTTTGGATTTTGTATTTTTCCAGTTGTATTTACTTTCATAATTTAGAAAGCTAATAAAACATGTTTAAAGAAACAGAAGCTAGAAATTCTTTAAGAACTCTAGGAAGTATAGGCCGGGCGCGGTGCCTCACGCCTGTAATCCCAGCACTTTGGGAGGCCAAGGCGGGCGGATCACAAGGTCAGGAGTTCGAGACCAGCCTGGCCAATATGGTGAAACCCCATTTCTACTAAAAATACAAAAATTAGCCAAGTGTGGTGGCAGGCGCCTGTAATCCCAGATATTTGGGAGGCTGAGGCAGGAGAATCACTGAACCCAAGCAGGCAGAGGTTGCAGTGAGCCGAAATCATGCCACTGCACTCCAGCCTGGGTGACAGCGTGAGACTCCGTCTCAAAAGAAAAAAAAAGAATTATAGGAAGTATAAATTAATAAATGAAGTCTTTGTCTTCATTCTGTATCAAAATAATCTTGAGCCCTTGTTCCTGGGTTTAAATAAAGATATCTCTAGGCTGCTGTCTGATATTTAAATGCAGTGATGAGACGAAGCCGACATCTAAGGAAGATTTTCTATGCCATCAGATTGGTATATTTTTTCCATGCATATGTGTCTTCCCTTTAAATGCACCCCCTGTAGCCACAGATATGCTTGCAAGGATGGCCAGCCAAGGAGTTTTTAGTAAAGGAACTGCTACAATGTCAGCTGGCCACCAACTAGGAAATTAAGCTTGTGTCCCACACAGCTGCCCAAGGCTGCCCAGGCCATGAAATTTAAAAATAAGGGTATTTTTGGGCTGGGCGCAGTGGCTCATGGCTGTAAGCCTAGCACTTTGGGAGACCAAGCCGGGCGGATCACTTGAGGTCAGGAGTTCAAGACCAGCCTGGCCAACATGGTAAAACTCTGTCTCTACAAAAAATACAAAAAAATTAGCCAGGTGTGGTGGTGGGCGCCTGTAGTCCCAGCTACTTGGCAGGCTGAGGCAGGAGACTTGCTTGAACTCGGGAGGTAGAGGTTGCACTGAGCCGAGATCGTGCCACTGCACTCCAGCCTGGGTGACAAAGCAAGACTGCATCTCAAATAAATAAATAAGGGCATTTTCTCCATGGTGGCTTTAACACAGTTGGGAGTGTATCTGCAACAGTTACATTGTATCTTTTGGCGAGTAACTCAATGCTAGATTCCACATGGCTTGGCTATAGTCCCTACTGTTAGGTTGGGGCCCAGGTCCATCATCAGTAGGCAGAGATGTGTTATTCACTTATTCAACAAAAATGTGCCGGCCATCATCTAGGTGCAGCACAGGACTAGGCGCTGGAGTGGTGAACATGGCAAACACACTCCCTGCTTGGAGCTCACAGTCTAGCTGGAGAGAGGGGCTTAACAATTAAATGCACTATCAATTAATTACAATTGTGATATGGGCCAAAGGGAGTACAAGGGGGTGAGATCATCTGGGGAGTCCATGGGGAGTTCCTAGCTGGTTCAGACTACAAAGGAAGAAGTGGTTGAGGAGAAAGTTAGAGAGGCAGGCAGGGGTTAGATCATGCAGGGCCAGTACACCACATTACAGAGTTTGGACTTTATCCTGAGACATTTGAAACAAGAGTCATACACTCGATTTTGCATTTTGAAGTAGATCATTCTGACTGCAATGTGAAGAAGGAATAGGGAAATGGGAGGAGTGGAGTGGAGGGACAGTTAGGAGGCTGTTGCTATAATGTGAGAGAGGCCATTTGTCTAAGCAGTAGAGCAAACGCAGAGAAGTAGACACCAACAAGACTTGGTAATTGCTTAGGGGGGATGAATCAAGGAAAACTCCCAGATTTCTGCTTCTTTAAAAAGATGGATGGTGGTGCCATTTTGAGTTGGGGAACCCTCTCAAGGTTCACATTTGGTCAAAGTAGGTTTGAGGTGCCTGGGTGGAGATGTTGAACAGGCTGCAGGGTCTGGTACTCTGAGGAGAGGCTGGGGCTGGAATAGCTGGTGTGGCAGTGGTAATGAAGTCACCAAAGGCACGTGGGCTACCATGAGAGTGTACAGTTAGATCAGAAGAGGACGTACCACTGAGCCTTGAGGAACTCTTATCTAAGGGCCAGACAGAGGCAAACCTCTGGCAGAGGAGGTGGAAGAGCAGCCAGAGAGGCAGGAAGAAAACTAGGAGCTTGGCCGGGTGCGGTGGCTCATGCTTGTAATCCCAGCACTTTGGGAAGCCGAGGTGGGTGGATCACCTGAGGACCAGGAGTTTGAGACCAGCCTGGACAACATAGTGAAACCCATCTCTACTAAAAATTAGCTGGGCGTGGTGGCAGGTGCCTGTAATCCCAGCTACTTGGGAGGCTGAGGCAGGAGAATCGCTTGAACCCAGGAGATGGAGGTTAAAGTGAGCTGAGTTCACACCAGGCACTCCAGCCTGGGCGACAGAGTGAGATTCTGTCTCAAAAAGAAAAAAAAAAAGAAAAAACTGAAAGGAGCTTGGGGAGGTGGGGTCACAGAATCCAGGGACAAAAGCACTAAGCAGGAGGCAGTAGTCAACAGCACTCAAAATGGCTGACAAAAGATGCATCCAGTGGCACACACCTGTAGTGTCAGCTACTCAGGAGACAGAGGTGGGAGGATCACCTGAGCCCAATTTGAGGCCAGCCTAGGCAACATAGCGAGACCCCCATCTCTTTTTAAAAAAATGGCTGGCTGGGTGCAGTGGCTCACGCCTGTAATCCCAGCACTTTGGATGGCTGAGGCGGGTGGATCATGAGGTAAGGAGATCGAGACCATCCTGGCTAACATGGTGAAATCCCGTCTCTACGAAAAATACAAAAAATCAGCCGGGCGTGGTGGCAGGTGCCTGTAGTCCCAGCTACTTGGGAGGCTGAGGCAGGAGAATGGCATGAACCTGCGAGGTGGAGCTTGCAATGAGTTGAGATCGCACCACTGCACTCCAGCCTGGGTGACAGAGTGAGACTGTCTCAAAAAAAAAAAAGGCTAAGTGACCCAAGTGAAGTGAAAGTTGAATAACGTCCACTGGAGTTAGTGACCTTGATGTCATTGGGGCTTTTACAGAGCAGTAGCTGGTGGAGTGAAGGGGATGGGAAATCGACTGGAGTGGATGGAGGCATGAGCGAGAGGGGAAGAAATGAAAAGCACAAGGTGCAGACAATTCTTGAAAGGTTTGACTATGAAAAGTCAGAAAAATAGCTGGAGGGGAATGTTATGTCAGCAGTGGGTTTATTTTGGTTTATGTATTTTAATTATTTTTAGGATGGAATTACTTGAGTATATTTAAATGTAAATAAGGAGGATCCCACAGAGAAGAGGAAGATGAAGGTACAGTAGAGAAAGGACAATGGAGCACAAAGTCTCCTGTGCCCATGGGAGAGATGGAACCAGAGTGTGGGTGGAAAGGCTGACCTCAGGCAGGGGCCACCTTCTCTATTATAACAGGAGGAAGGAGGCTGGAGGAGGACTAAGCCAGGCTGCTTTCACAGAGGTAGTTGAATCTTTCCACCTGATGACTTCCTCTTAACTCTGTGACATAAAGGAGGCTAGCGATAGGGCAAGGAGACATGACAGATTTGAAGAGAGTGGAGAAGGTATGACACAGTCATTGCAGGAGTTTGGGAGGGTCGTGATGACCAGAGAAACAGCCAGATAGCAAGGCAGCATGGCAGTCCACTTGAGGCTGGTGCCTGTGGACTTCTAAGGTACGCTTTGGCCCTCCTGTGCGGTTTCTTCCAACAGCTCAGCTGCCCACTGTGGTGCCGGCTCAAACGAGGAGATTACCAGGGCAGAGGAGCAAAGGAATTGAGAGCCTTGGCAAAAGTGAGGTAGCACGGTGAATGATCAGAGAGAAAGGACAGGAGCCAAAGGACTGGAAAAGTCAAGGGGTCAAGACTCAGTCACACCAGAAGGAGAGGAGGCTGGGTCAGAGATCTGGATCTGAAGTAAGGGGTTCAGGAGGTAGAGAAGTTTAGGGCCATGACAATGCCAGGACATGATGGGGGTGGCATAGAGGAGAAAGTCATTGGAGAATACGAGGTCAAGAGATGAAGAGGGCACTGGCTAGATCATCTGTGTGAACAGGAAAGGCATACAGGATGTGAAGAGGAACGGTAGTTATGGTGTGAAGGCCATGGAGCCAGGAGCTACAGTTTTAAGAGAGTGGGGAAGAGGGAATGACCAGGAGAGCAGAAGATAAAAAGCACCAGGCAGGGGAGAGGCAGTATGGCTGGGCAGCAGTCTCCCCAAAGGAACAACAGCGTTTGTGGGAGGTGGAGGAGAAGTGATCAGGTAGAGGAAAAATTAGTTAGGGTTGGGAAAGTCTGAGAGGCTTCCTGGAGAAGGTGAAGTGGAAGGCACCCAGGCTGCTCCTTTATCCCAAGAAACACATTTTAAGTTATGCCCATTCTTTTGTGGCTGCAAAGACTGGGACTGGAGGGACACAGTCAGCAGTGTCATCCCAGTGTTTCAAGGAAAGCAAAGAAGGCGGGAATTTCATTCTGAGCAAAGGTGAAGGATGGATGGACAGACAGATGCACAAGTTGATGAACTGACCTTTGATTGAGTTTCTTTGTTGAAGTCTGCAGTTCCAGAGGAGCATGTAAAAGTATTTGGAGAGGGGTAGGTGAGTAGAGGGGGTAGGTCAGGTGTCAGGAGGGGCAGAGCACTGTGGGACGACAGAGGATCTGTAAGGGAATAACAACAACAACAACAAAAACAAATGAGTGGTACCGTGGGTTTTGCCTCAGTTGTCTCTTTATGAAGCCTGACCCACTAGCTCTACAAACCAGGGCCACATCCCCCTTGCTTTCTTTTCCTTCCCAAGATTTCCATCAGGGAAGGGTATGTGGAAGCCTCCTCCTCCCCCCTCTTCTCCACTGGGCGCTCTGTTGTCACCAAATGAGCCCCTGTGGGCCCTGTGTGGCCATGCACCAAGAATCCCAGGCTTATCCTACCTCTGCTACTCATCTTCCTTCTTCTTAAACAGGTTGTTGACCTCTTCGGTCTCAGTTTCATTATCTGTAAAATAGGCCACCTCTCAGAGCTACTGTAAGGAATAGAGATAAGTACAAGCACTTTCTA